GTTTCTCCTACACACTTCACAGCCCGTTCTCATTCCCAGGTTGTCAAATACAGACACAGGCGATGTCGATTTAGTCGCAATTTACAACTTCACCGCTATAGATGCCACAAAACACACTGGTCTGCACATTATATACCAGTAGTTTGTTTAATCTGTACAACCAAACCAAAACCAAAGTGTAAATTGTAATTATATATTTCTCAGTAGAGCAGATAAAAACTAATCATATTTCCTAAAAATGTTTAACTATAGATATTCAAGTCTTTATTGAATTATATTTCTGCTTTGAAGATATTTGGTAGTTGTATACTGAGATAACTTTGTTCAGTATCGTACGATTAAAAACACATATTGACACATTTATTTGTCTTGATTCTGTTTTATGCAGTTTTATTACCTTGTTTGTGAAACACTTTGTCACAAACTATATATAGATTTTTTTTCTCATCATCTGCAAACTTCTGCAACATCTTTTCACCCTTTCTTCTTCTTCTTCTTCTTCTCCTCCTCTCATGTCAACAGTCTTCATTATGAGGAGCATTCCAGACTCCAGGCCCCAGGGTAGAAACTCCTCATTACATCGTTGCTGCAGAAAGAGAAAGCAGCTAATGTGACAGCTGCTATTGTTAGCAGAGCTACACGGGGCCACTCAGTCACTTACCTGCTGTTCAATTGAACAGTTTAAATCTAATCACACAGATGAGTTTGCAGACTGTTTCTGTTTGAGTCCAATCACCAATCATGATTTTTGAAAGAGAATTACAGTATCCAAGCCAGTAGACTCATCATTAAGTAAAAATGTAATTTATAGCTATTATTAAAGTTTTTGTTCCCAAATCATGGGAGACTTATTCTGTCTGACGGCCAGGTTACGACCTGTCAGCTTATATTCACTTTTACTTTCTACATAAATGAATTCTATGTTCACTTGTGTAGAAAGACACGGTTAATGTTCACATCCAGAATCAGAACCAGCAGCTGTTAAAAAAATGATCCTGAATGATTGTGATTCCCACAACTGCCTTTCATCCCAATTAGTTCAGCTTTGTTCTAGTAAATTCTTACCTGCTGTTCACTCAAAATGTCCCAAATTTCATTACAGGGAAGAAAAAACTTTTTTGTAAATTTGAAAGAAGTAAACAAACAAATGATGGAAATAAGTCATTTAATTAATTATCTATAAAGCAAGAAATCTCTGTCTGTCTGTCTGTCTGTCCGTGTGTGTCCGTGTGTGTCAGTATGTGTCTCTGTGTGTGTGTGTGTGTGTGTGTGTGTGTGTGTACAACCACCTTTCGTGCCTTTTGGCAAGGTAATTGCTGCAGGATCCGCATTGACTCGTGCTCTGTGACGAGCCACTTTTTCTTTGCTTGATAATGGCATCTATTAGGGGGAAAGAGGCTCTATTATATTACAATAATTATGAAACAATTTAATAAACAAGTTAATAAATGTAATTTTACAGATCTAAATTTTAATCTTTGACTAACGTTTATCATATTATTGGAGTTTCAAGTATTTTTAAAGCTGCTGTTCATTTTCAACATTGTCACTGTTCACCCACTGCTGCTTCATTATGAAATTACATATATTATATATATAGCTGTTGAAAGTTAATGGAATACAAATATGTATTAATTATGTATTTAATATGTATTAAAGCTAAACATTTCAAAAATATTAAAGCCATGCAAAATAATGATTTGATCCTAACCTTCCATAGCTTTGATAATAAAGTTAAATAAATCTTTTTTCTAAGAAATATAACACTTAACACTTAAAAATAGTTCCACATAGTAAGTTAGTTCACATTACATATTAAATCAGCATCAAAAAATTCTGATATTTGACAAAATCAACCTCTAACCAAAAGGAATGTAATAAAAGTCAAATGGTGTAACCGGTTACACCATTTGACTTTTCAATTCAAATTCAAATTTAACAGGCATTATGATGGACACCTATGTAAGCACATGGCCTTGATGTGAAGATTTCAAGCACATTTTTTAAAATAAATACTTATTTTTACAGTTATTATGAATTATAAATGGTTTCCTAAGGTCATACCATTTGACTTTTAACTCTAACCATACCCTAAAAATGTCAAATTATCAAGATTTTAAAGAGAGCTACTAACCTTGGCATGCAGCAGTTAGGCTAATCAGGGGTCCTTCTTTGTGATATCATTTCTTGCCACATGGTCTTCTTACCCAAATTAGTTATAATATTCAGAACAATGGTGTTCCATTTATTTTATTAATTGTTAAACAACAAAAATGTAGGAATATGCCAAACTAGTTGATAATGTGTTTTATTGAGAATTTCACCTTTTTTGAACAAGTTTAAGTATTTGGTACAAAGTTTTTATGGTTACACCACATTGACATTTTTACCATTATCCCCTGAATATTCTCTCAAAATTGATCAAATCCAGAAATTTTAGACTAGGTCTTCAAAAAGAGAACTGTAATTTGTGAGTTTATTTTCAAATTTAAACCTTTTTAAATTTAACTAAACCATAGGAACACAAAAAAATTGCGTCACGTCATTGACCCAGAAATGGAATAGAATTCAGTATGATATTAGTATACTCACCATAATAAATAATAATGTTTTCATTAGTTAGTAGACATTTTTATCTACAGACGCCGCAGGTCGTCTTCGTTGGACGCCACCAAATCCTACACACTGGTCCTTTAAATTAAATTTGAATAATAGCAAAAATAAATAACACAACAGCACAGACAGGAGTTAAACCTGCAGTGTTGGGGTAGTTACTGAAAAAAGTAATCCACTACACATTACTAGTTACTTTTTAAAAAAAGTAATGCTGTTACTTTACTTTGTTACTCGTGGCTTAAAGTAATTAGTTACACTACTAGTTACATTACTTTTGGATTACTCCATGACATCACCTGAGATGCACCATACCTTAATTGCCCTGTACTGTATATTCATAGCCCTATATTTATAGCCTTTATTACATTTAAATCAATCAAATCTGGATATAAAAAAGCTGTATATAGTGTACATATTATTATCCTTATTTATCTATTTCTATTATATCTTGTATTTTTACTATTCTTTACCTATTTAATGTGTATTTTCTAATCTATTGTATATGTTGTGTTGTCTATGTTGCAAGTGCATTCCCCCAGTGAGGGATCAATAGTCTATCTTATATTAAAGTTATACATGCAAGGCCTCTAATAGGGTATTTTTACACTGTGGCATTTTACTTGGATCTGAGCTCTTATTCCACAACTGCTGTTACATAATATGCTGTCACAGCCCCCACCACCACCAGTTGCTTTGAATGTTATGGGGGTCCAATGACTGACAAGGTCAGAGGGTCTAGCTGGCACACTAGACAAAGTGGTAGGAAAACCAGAGCAGGAGCCACACTTTCCCTTTCACTCATTTCGCAGTTACCCACCTCTTCCAAGTCCGTCCAGTCCCTCTCCTGCTGCCATGGCCAAGCGCAAGTCAAAGAAGCCACAACAAGAAGACACTTCCATTTTGTTGGACTCCCCAGTAGCGCAGTCCAGGGCCTCAGTACCAGCACCAGCACCAGCAGCAGACCGGGTGGTACCACAGTCCAGGAACAAGACAAACTCATATGCGTCTTCAGCTCTGTTGTTCATTATTATCTTCACAGTCGGGGCCTCTATTATGGGGTGGTGTTGTGCACAACAGCAGCACAGCCTCGACCAGCTGTCAGAGTCTTTCACAACAATGCAAAAGAGGATCACAAACCTCCAGCAGGTGATGGAGATGACGGACGCACAGGTAACTTAAGTTATCTAGCTAAACTTCTTGTTCCTGCTTTGTTGGGCTGCTCACTCACTTTATTGTTAAAAAAGACTTACATTTACTTATTTTGTTTCGTATTACCGTGTAACAAGGTGAAATAAATTCGACAACAGCGTTACAGGGGAGGGGGAGGCGAGGGTCAATCGCTGCACGGTGTGCTTTTAGCGACGTGGAATACCGGAGATTTGCCTTCAAAATAAAAGAACTACGTTTGTCATTTTTAAACAAATTAGTAAATAAAAACGAATTATCAAATAAAAAGCGTGTATAAGAAATGTCCTTTCAGTCACATGTAGTTCATGACATCTCTAACATAACACGGATGATAGTATTAGTCAGTGAGGTTTATTTTGAAAAGCTAAGGCTGCAAGACATTTTAAAGTAGCTGCTTTGACACTTATTGTAACACCTGTCGTTATTTTTAGCAACTCCGGACTGTGACAGCAGCTAAATGCTCAGGTTTTAGTTACATTCACAGCCCCAATGGGTACTGTGACATATAAATAATGATATCCTTCATTATCTGAAGTTATTGCTGCTAGTTTGTCATACTGTGTATAGTCCTGTATAACAAAATCAATATGATATTGCAGATTTTCTGGGAAATCAACTGAGAAAACTGTTTTAAATGTCTATTGGTTAATCCTGGAAATTCAATACCTTTCAAATTAAAGTCACATTTATGCAAAAATCATATATAAATCCAATATTGCTATAGAGTCCTGCTCAGTAATTTGTAACTCTTCCCACAATGGCCAAATTCACCCAGAGATATTAAAGGGACAGCCACCATGGTATAAACCATATTTAAACAAATGTATATCACCTCATGGTAGGCTATATGTCAAATCGCACAAATCCGCTTGCTACAGCAGTATGACAGCTCAGTCTGACATAAATCCATCTCACAGATCTCAGATGTTTGAACCAAACCTAAATCCTTTTTCTCACTCTCCAGACTGACACAGATTTGGATGTGGAGAAGAGGATTTTCGCCCTGGATGAGGCTCAGAAACAGGCTCAGGAGACGGCTGAGGTTGCTCTGGCCACAGCAGAGAAGCTGAAAAACTCTGACCTCCTCTCGCAGCTTTTGGACCTTCATGATGAGATGGACACCCGATTGGCTGAGATAAAGCAGGTGTCGCTGGCCGTCACAAATATCCAGGCAATGTTCAAAAACCAGAGTGAGGAGTTTGAGACTGTGAAGGAGAGCGTAGAGGCCGGGTTGAGCTCCAGCTCAGCACTGGCTGAAAGTGTGGCTGAGTTGGCCAGTGCTGTGGCCAGCACATGCTCCAGAGTTGATGAGCAGATTGCATCAGTGGATGCTCTTAATGCACAGTTAGAGGGACAAGCCTCGGAGCTGAATGAGCTGAAAGACTCAATGTACCTCCACAATGTTGCACTTTATACAAACAACCAGGAGACGGCTGCAGTAAAGTGAGCCCAGTTTAATTTCGGAGTTTATCTTCATGTCTGAATAATGTTTTAATTTGCTGCCTTTTCAAAGAAGTGTTTATTTCTGTTGTGTGTGTGTGTGTGTGTTTTCCAGGGAGCTTGTCCAGGCCATGCAAGCTGTGCGTGCCCAGGCACTAGAAGAGATGCTCAGTTCAGTGCAGATGACTCTGGATGAGCAGTTTTTCACTTCACAGACCCTCCACAGCAGTGTCATGGCTCACCTACAGACTTTTCACACGCAGGTATAACCCTACTACTTTTACTAAGACTGTTCTTTCAAATACCTGAAAGTGTTTTGTGACAGTGTACGTTGTTTTCCAAGTTGCAAGTGCTGAATCCTATTTGGATGAATAATGAATAACATATCTGTATCTCAGTTGGCGAATGCTCCCTCTTGGTCACTGAAGCTTAAATCAAATGACGAGGGCCCAGCTGCAGAACAGTTCATCTCCTCTACCGCACAGAATGCCACTGAGGTGAAGCTAGAAGATGTTGAGGAAAAGGCTGAGCAGCAGGATGCTGATGATGAAGCAGAAGAGGAAGCAAAGGAGGAGAACATGCAGGAAGAGCAGCCCCTGGAACAGGAAGTGGACGGGGACGTTACAGAGGGGCAAGAGGAAGAAGAGATTACAGAAGAGGAAGAAGAAATAACACCAGAAGAGCAAGAAGACATTACAGGACAGAGTGCAGAGTTTGCTGAGGAGACAGCAGAAGACGAGATCACAGAAGAGACTGTTAACGGCCATGTTTTGGATGAATCTTTGCAAGAGGAGGTATCTGAAGAAGGTGCCGAAAGATGGAAGTCTGAAGAGGAAGAGTTGGCTGAATTAAATTTTGAGGCCTTCGCGGACGGAAATGAGGAGGACGAGTAGTTGTACTTGAAATGCTCCACTAGATTGAGCACCTGTAAATCATTAGTTCCAAAGAATGTGATTAAGTCTTACTTAGATTAATGGGAACCATTTTTTACATGCAGCACAATTTCTTTAACTAGTAGCCGCAAATTATTTGTTTTATTCTACTTTTGTGGTTGTCTGACATCTAGAGTGTGTCAGGTGAGGTCCATCACTGAAACGTAATGAATTTCCTAAAACTACCTATGTCTAATTCCAGCCTTAGTTTTTAGGGTTTTACTTCTCTTCAACATACATATGTCTTGTAAGAAATTGTATATTGTGACAACAAGTATTAATACATGATTGCTCTTGTTAATTCAATATGAAATATGTGATCAAAAGAAAATGGGAATGATTGGAAGTAAAAAATTAAAGTCACATCTGAAAATGACTTTACGCAATAATGTAAATTGAGAATTTCTGTAAAATAATTCTAACAATTTTACTATGACTGTTTAAATTGAATTGGCACATGAAATTTGAAGAGGAAAATGTTAATTGAATTACCTTA